ACATCACCACTGCAGTTTGGTAGCTTTTAACATCCTACCATTGTTTGACCAGAGTGACGCCAGTGTGTACCGTCTACAAGACAAACAATCCAGGCACAGATTAGAAGAACAAGGAGGTCATGCCGGAGCTGTAAAGAACTTTGTTAAGACCACAGCTGGAGTATTGCGTGCAGTTCTGGTCAGCACACAATAGGAACGATGTGATTGCACAGGAGATGGTGCGAAGGAGATTCACCACAATGTTGCTGGGATGGAGCATTTCAGATATGAAAAGAGACTGGATAAGCTCAAGTTACTTTCTTTGGAGCAGTGAAGTCTAAGAGAGGAGCTGATTGAGGTGCATGAGATTACAAGGGGCATGGACAGGGTGGATGGAAAACAGCTGTTCCCCTTAGTTGAAGGGTCAATAAGAAGGCTGCATAATTTTAAAGTCAAAGGCAGAAAGTTTTGAGGGGATTTGAAGAAAAATATTTTCACTCAGAGGGTGGTGGGGGTCTGGAATGTACTGCTGGCAGGGTAATTGAGGCAGGTAACCTGACAACCTTTAAAAAGTATTTGGATGAACATTTGAAATATCATAACATTCACGGCTCTGGGCCTAGTGCTGGAAGTTAGGACTATTGTAGATTTAGTGTAACTTTGGCAGTACACCCTTGATCGGTTGGAGGGCCTCTTCTGTCCTGCATGATTCTATGATTCGATGGATAGGGCACAGGTTATGTGCAGGTATGAGACGGAGTGTGGGGGTGGGCAGCGGGGAGGATGTGGGTGTGAATAGTGAGGCTGGTGGAACATTTTATATGTTATTATTTTAGTTTATATTGGACGCAGCACTGGAGCCCCAGTGCAGGCTTTTTGTCCTCCCAAGCTCATCAAATGGCAGCCTTGCAGCTCTTCCAGTTTCACCGAGCCTGAGCTCTCTCCCCACTGGTTGACTGAAAATGCGGCGTGTAGGTGGCCATTTTTAAAGGTCTGGTTCACAGGGCCGGGCATTTCCTACATTGCCATTTCTGATCCAGGAATTAACTTTAGGGCCTCCAAATCAATAATGAAGATTGTAAATACATGCGACACAAACACTTATCCCCAAGGCATTCAACTAGGTAGAGTTTGCCAATCTCAAAATGACTCATTGGTCCCAACCCTCTTTCTTCTTAATCAATCCTCAATCCATTCTAATATATTATCCCTGCCATGAGCTCTTATTGGCATAGTAATCTTGTATGTGGCACCTTCTTTAGTGCCTTTTGAAAATATAAATACACTACATTTACTGTCTTTCTTTATCCATCCCAGTTGTTACATCCTTAAAGAATGCCAGTAAATTTGTCAAATTTGATTTTCCATTCATAAAACCATCTTAACGCTGATTGATTATGCTATGATTTTCTAAAGCTCCACTATCATTTCATTAATATTAGATTGCAGACATTTCTCAATGACAAATATTGGGCTAACTGGCCTGCAATTTCCTGATTTGTCCCCCTCCATTCTTCGATACAGATGTTACATCTGCAAATTTCTAATCCACTGGGACCTTTCCAAAATGTGGGAAATTTTGGAAGGTTGCAATCTATGCATTCACCATCTGTGCACTACACCTTCTAAGACCTTACAATATCAGCCATCAGGTCCAGGGAACTTGTCAGTCTTTAGTCTCATTAGATTTCCTAGTACTTTTTCTGTTGGCTTGGTGATTGTTTTAGGTTTCTCCTTTCAATTTGTTTCTTAATTTACTACACCTATTGGGATGCTTTTTCAATATCTTCTATCATGAAGATAGATACAAATACTTGTTCAAAATTTTGCATTTTGTATTTTTTAAGGGAGGAACACTTTCATTGGCTAATCTTTCTTTTCGTGTAGAAACTCATACTATCTGTTTTTATATTTGTCGCGCGTTTCTCAAATATTCTCCTTTCCCCTCCTTTTTTAGCCTTGATTTGCTAGTTTCAAAAACTTACCAGCCTCCTGGTCTGCCACTAATCTTCAGAGTATTACTTCTTTTTCTTTCAATTTGGCACCATTTTTTAATTTCTTTAGTTAGCTACTGCCACTCTTTAGACATGATGAGGAGGTGCCAGTATATGACCGGGATGGACATGGTCAAAACTCACACAACACCAAGTTATAGTCCAACAGATTTAATTGAAAACACAAGCTGTCAAAGCACTGTCCCTTTCTCACCTGATGAAGGGGCAGTGCTATGAAGACTTGTGATTTTAAGTAAACTTGTTGGACTATAACCTGGTGTCATGTGACTCTTTAGACAGTGAGTTCAATTTTTATTCAAGTCCTTTCCCATCTTTCTATCACATATTTTAAATCAATGGCACCTCTCTTCTATCCTCTTTACAGAGGCACCTCACCTTCTCCAGCTTCCTCTTTTCCAAAGATAATTGCGCCCATCCATTCTTTCCTCCTGGGCAAATCTCTCTGGTTCTGTCAATGAAAATCTGTGCTTGTAAATCGACTCTCTGTCCTCTCTAGTGTGATCTTTTCTGTAATGTAAAGATTAGAATTGTACACTATACTCTCACTGAGGCTTAACCAGTGGGTTATACGTTTTTACTCTTCTCCTGAATGTTTTGACTAGTGAAGTGGAGTATCCATTGTGCCGTCTAAATTCCTGGCTTGGGACCTTTGGGATTTTCGGACATGGATTCCAAGTTCCAGTTAGTAAATTAAGCTTTTCTGTATCCCAAAAGCATTACATTCCATATTTCTAGATTGAATTACAATAGCCACTTGTCTGCTCACCTAATCAATCTTTAATATTTTCTTGCAATTGTGTTCTCTTCCTCTTTAGCAAGTTTTTTGATATGATTAATTGTAGTCACATGTACCTAAGTACAGTGAAAAGCCATTGTTTGCAAGCAGTATAGGCAGATCATAGTAAGCAAGGACATACAGATCCATAGAACCCCTGTGTGAAGTAGGCCATTCAGCCCTTTGAGTCCACACCAACCTATCCCCCTACTCTATCCTATCTTATCTCTGTAACCCTGCATTTTCTGTGGCTAATGCTCCAAGCTTTCACATCCCTAAACACTATGAGCAATTTAGCATGGCCAAAATACCTAGCTTGCATATCTTTGAACTACGGGAGGAAACTGGAGCACCCAGTGGAAACCCATGCAGATATTGAGAGAACATGCAAACTCCACACAGCGAGTTGCCCGAGGTTGGGATTGAACCTGGGTCCCTGGTGCTGTGAGGCAGCAGTGCTGCCCATAGATCATAGGATGCTTAGGCAGAGTGAGGCATACAGTTTACACTGTGCAGGAGGTGTGCAAAGCAGGATCAACATTAACAAGATCAACATTATTTGAAGTGAGAGAGTCCATTCATCAGTATAATAACAACAGGGAAGAAGCTGTTCTTGAACCTGTTGCTGCTGTTCAAGCTTCTGTACCTTTTTGTTTCATTTACTGAGTCCTTAATCATGTGCTCTACATTTAAGTTCAAAATATTGACTGATACATCAGAAAAAGCAAGAGACCAGGGGCTGAACCCTGTGAAACTCCATGGGAAACAGCCTTCCAGTCACAAAAACTATCCATATTGGCCATAACCCTTTGCTTCCACTGAGTCAATTTTGAATCAAACCCGCATGTCCCCTTGAAC